GGTATTTCTAGCGTACGTGCGACTGTGAGTGGTTGCATGGCTGCGTAACGTTGTTTCGATGCCATGGCGTACTGCTGACGTCTTCGAAGATTATCTCATCTCTGGCGAGAACACCGTACGATCAGTGAGTGCATTTGCCGCCTTGTTTGCGGAGCGAAAGTAGCAATTGATGCACTACTCGGCGTCGTTATTTTACGCACCATTCTTTGCTTACTATGCCATGACTATGCAAGCCAGCACACTTCTTCGATGACGGGCTACTGTTCGACCGGGATTTGGATGAAAGAAGAGGTGAGACTACCTGATGACTCCGTCAGGAGAAATGTAGGGAATTAATGCGAATTTGGCATCGGTTGGTGCCACTCGACTCCTCGGTTCTTATAGCTGGACATGTTCATTGACGGCGAGGAGTCTAACTTACTGGCGTTTATATCTGGGTTTCTTCACCCCTCCACTTACCGCTTAACATGCCTCTCCAAACACAACCTCTTACTCCATGCATAGTTTAAGACCGCTTGTTCACAACATTTGAAATGACCATTTATCCGCTTGTTCAGGTAACTATGGATGGAAGAGGCAATTATTGAGAATACTCGGGTTGTGGGTGATAATGGTGAGTTGTTCTTCGTGCTGGGTATTTTGCCTATAGACGTTTTGTTAGCGGGAAGGTAACATCATTTGTGAAAGTTTCGGGAAAATCTGCCCCCAAACCTATCAGCCGCAGTTCACGCGAGTTGAACGCATTTATGCAGGCCAGACGGTTCGCGCAAAATTGGTACTGCCAAGCACGAACTACCTTCAGCATCTTCGTATGCAGGACAGGAGTGGGTGAATAACGCTTGCCGGCCGATGGACGTAGAGAGGGGGTATAAAACACGCTAATTAGGAATGACTAGTGAGCGTAGCGCTTCAAACCTTATTTCAGTGTTGATGATTATACGCTTTGTGGATGACACGTTTTGATCGATGCTCAATTTTGCTTTTATTTTTGCGGGCTCTGCGATACTACACATGCCCGGTCACCGCTTACGAAGACGCCTTGTTTCCAGAAGGTTTTGAATACAAGTTGGTTTTGTAGGTTTTTATTGTGGCAACATTTTGCTCTTGACGCGAGAACTTCAGTTCGGCGTGCATTGCTTTTTGTCGGATGTTTAATGGCACTGGACTTATGGTGAGTAGTAATTGACTTAAACTTAGGCTATGAAGTCACTGACGACTAAACTTGGCCGTTGTTCTGCCTCATCTTCTAGATTGGGTGTCCACTGGACCCACACTGTGCTTGGTTGGAGCCTTTACAATTCATGGCTCACAATCGGCACCGTTGGCGCCTTTACTATCGTTCTCTAACCGTACTATCCATTTAAAATGTATACTGATGCTGTGTTAAATGTGGCGTAAGGCTGATTTTGACGCGGGCAGTGAAAAGCGCGTACTCCAGTAATTTGGTCCACTGTTCTTTAGTGCCCCGAGAAAAGCTGTATAGCTGAACTGATCTGAAGTCATCATCATTTTACACATTGCTTGGAGTAAAATACACCCCAGCTATTTTGTTGCAATATAATTTACTCAGGTGGCAGTAAAAATGGAAACGCAACAAGGCAGCACAAAACAAGCGATATCATCATGCTCTTTTTATATTTTGCATTAACAACAAAATCGTGGTTGGAAAATTGGTTAAGCGCGATGAAACGGGGTAAAAACTCACGACACAGGCGCTGTTGGGGTCGGTTCTTCGCGATGTTAACAGTTGTACCCAACCAAACGTATTCCTTGTCTTGGTGTTGGTTGGTTCACCGAGCTTGACCTAATAGTTGCATGCGTTTCTCCACCATGCGACGTCGCATCGTCTGGGTGGTGATGTACAGCGTGCAATCTTGCACCATTTTTCGGACCCCCACCAGGCCGTTGAGAGACTCCAACCGGGTCCAACTCCTAAGTGAGGAACTTTATTCCTCTTCATTTCTCTTCGGTTGGTCTCACCTTCTTTTCTATCCAGATCCCAGTCGCGCAAACAACGAACTTCGCGGGAGTCGGTGTACTAGCATGCGTAACACGGCCCAGTAATCAGACTCGTGCATGAATTAATGGCGCTAAGCAGTTCATTGGCTATTTCCGTGTCGAACACGTTTATTGCTCTCACAAAGTTCCCACCAGATGTTAGCTAGATTGCGAGGGCACCGGTGGTCCAACGCACAAGCCTCTTTACGTTTACTGATCTGATGAGACAAGTTCACAATCGCCCATAAGGTTCGAACGAACAGCTGCATTGTAGATTCTACCCTACTGGATGAGAGTGATATCGCGCCTTCGCCGTTTGTGGCGAAAATTGGCAAAAGTACCCCAAGCATTTGGTGTACAATTTGTGATCCCATCTTTAATTCCATAAGCGCGGATACAGCTGCCCAGGTAGTTGGATTTCCGAACGACTTCCATCTGGTCCCTAGCAAAATTTAGTGCAGAGAGTGGCCCATACCGAGATTGGAGGTAAGGTATGCAATTGGAGAGAGCAAAACAACACCAAACACGGCTGAAATCAAATGCTACTCTGTCCAGTGCTACTTGCCACGTTTGTGAGCAGTCACAGATTAGGGCAATATCATCGGTATACTCCAAGTCAAGAAGTCCATCACCTGGAATCAGCTCTACACCTAAACTGTGTACAGTGAACGCAGTCTCCATGAATTGGTCTATGGTGCAGCTAAACAAGAAAGGTGGCAGCGGACATCACTGTCTCACTGCTGGAGATAGTGAAGAGTGGCGACAGTTTGCCATAAGTCCTCACTTTTCCCGAACTGTGTACATAAAGCGATCTGATAATGTCTACGTATTCCTCGGATATATCTTTCCTGAGCAAACAGTCCCAGAGAGCACATCGATCCACTGAATTGAAGGCACCTTTGATGTTGAGGAACGCGACTACGGTGGGTCGCCAATGTAAGTGGTGATGCTTCAACAATGGATGTAAAGTGATGTGTCCAACACGGCGTCGATTTCGTTGAACCGTGGCTTGTTCTTCACGAATGTGGCCTTCGCGGGCGCTAACCAATCTGTGAAGGGGGATACGCAAGTAACTTGGAGGCGTTGGCGATGACTGTCGCATTCCTTCCGTGAGTCTTTGAAAACTGGGACAACAGCGGGGCAACTGCCGTCACTGCGACAGTTTCCTGCTCTCACAGATTCACTACCAGATTGTGTGAATGATCCACATCAGCAACCGGGTTGGAGGACGTTCATCTCGTCCTGCTATCTTCTTATCCAGAAGTCGTTTCTCGCATTCGAATTCAGCGCGCGAGATCGGGTCCAGAAAAGTTACTCAGAGGGCAGGGCAGTCACTGGTTGTGCATGGAGTTCATAGACCTGGCGCATTTAATTGTATTCAAATGCTTATCCTAACTCACCAGCTATTTTGATAGGTTTTTGATAGGTAATCCACTCATCGCATATCGTTAGGCTAACATTTTCTCTCTTATTGCCCAGTTCCCATATTGTACGGAATAACAGGATGGTTACCAAAGACAGCAGCTGTTTGCATATGCGATATACGGTTAGATCACCAAGTTTTGCGGTTTCCTCATGCTAACACGCAGTTTTGTCCAGAGATGTTTGCAAATCGCGTTATATACGCTGTTATCCAGAATGTGTCGGCGGATACCGAATTTCCGAAGATGACGCATGCACTCAAATGTCAGATTAGGCTGCAGATTACTCACCCCACATTGACTGTTTATCGGCCTGTGTGCTCAAAAGAATTATGCTTTCCCGGACACCAATCAACAAAATTGGGAAGCTTTATTGATCGTTAACTTTCCTCTGTCACCTATACCGAGCATTGTGACATTCCGCGTTGGTGGTTACGAACGAAAATCGCGGATTTCCCCTTAGCCTCTTCATTCAAGCATTACGCTTGGCATTAAGGAGAGCCTTTTGAGCTTGAGTGTGCTGGCTTACTGCTGTCTTTCTTCTGGTTGCCTTTGACCTTAGGTGCATCCTGTGTCGGTCACGGTTTCGCCGTGCAACAATTTCGAAAATATTGCCGGCTTGAATTTAATGTTCTTCTTGTCGTCTGAGGTAACGTTACGCTAGCTAACGTAACTACCAGACTATGTTCGGGGTCTGTCGCGTTTTCTTCAAGTTTGCCACCCTACTCTCTTTTCCTGGCCACCAACTGTTTCCTACTCTCATGCGCAATATTGCATCTTGCTACTATTGGTCTTTGTCTCATCCTTACCTATCGGCCACTAAGTTACTGGTAAAAGGAATGCAGTTCGGATTCGCTTTGCACCCGTTACATGTTTACTTCACCCCGGTCGTTAGAAAACAGCTTCTCTAGTGCGCGCTACATTGTAACCAACTCAACGATAGGCTCCGTCGGTATTTACATATGTTTTGGAGTCATCAACTAGAATTTGTTTGTGATTTTGCATGACTGTACACCGATCACGTTTGCATGAAATTTTTCCTGCAACTCGTGTCATCTTGTGGACTCCACCAGACCGTTATACTTTGGAACTTTTTTGATTTTGTCGGGTTATATACTAAGCCTAGACTTTCGTCTTGCTGACTTCTGCGTCCAACGTACCGCTAACATATGGTCCCTTTTGATTGTGATCTGATTGACGCTGCTCCGAGTGCGCTTCGCCTTACCGGGGTAAATTTCTGTTGCCCGTATTGATCTGAATATCTTACATATTGGGCGCTTGTAAAACTCGGTTATGTACTTCTCATTCCACTCGGTGGACTTGGTTGTATCAAGGATATACAACTGGGGGCACTCTGGAATGCATCGACCAAGGCAACACGGGCCGTTGTATGTGTAACCTGGCCCTCAATAGTCTTTCAGGCTGAATATCATCCACTCTTTTTCTTCCGTTACCCTGTCATTTACTTACCCCCTCTGTTATTTGTTCGGTATGTAGTGATAACAGTCATGTATCAGTTGCACGTTAGGTCGGTGAGAAATAGTTTCCCTTCGTTATGTTCTGTTCTCTACACTCATACAGAATAAAATTGCCGTTTTCAAACCAAAAGATGAAGAACCTTATGGTCGCCTTAACCCAAAATGGACGAAGTGGATGCACAAGCACTGTTGTCCATGTTGCTTTGGTCGATCGTGTTTGGTGCCAAATCAAGGCTACATATCCGAAGCAGGAGCTAGCTTGGTGGACGATCGGCTGAAATTGGGCATAGTTCCTAAGACAAAGGTAATCCATTCCCTCCAATGAAAAAGACGAATCTAAATCTCTAAGTGGTACTTTGTCACGAATTGATATTCTGGCAGTGAGATCTGGTCTGCGCCTTTTTAAGCGGTCGCGGTCTGTCTAACTTTCTGATGTATTGTGGTATTTTTTTTGAATCGGATTAGGCATTTTTGCTAGACTTGTACAATTCTAACATTGCTTTTGTAGCGCACGGTAACGCCGTTGCACCGTATTACCATCGAGCTAAAACCTCTTCTTTTCAGTTACGATGTGACCTGGCACGATGCAGTTCGGTTGTCTAACTGCAATTCTAATGTTTATGTGTCTCCGATAACAGGTTCTGCTTTGAGAAATAATTTCAACCGGGGGTGGGGGCAGGTGCAAACGATACACACTAGATCTGGCCATTCACTAGCTGAGACTTAGAAAATCTGTTTCTCGTTCTCTGTAAGCCCAAGGGAATGGACTATTAACCATGCAGCGGTTGTCGGTTCATGGGTTTTACCAACAGGACGATTGATTGTCCTCTTTCAAAGCTATACTATTCCAGTTGTTCAGTCATCATTCAGTACCATCGATAGCTTTTGCACACACGTCATCCTCTGCTGTGTATTTGTACACTATTTTGAAGCAAATGTACCTCAAATTTCTTTAACTGTAAATATCATGTTGTCGAATTTGTCAGAGGATTGCAATCATCACATGTTCAGTGTTTTTTACTAACATAGCAGTTTGCCCCAGTGGTTTCATCAATTTGCTCAGGAAAACATAGGAATTAAACGATCTTCGAACGAAAACTAGCGGCATATAGTTTCTGCTACATTTCTTCGGTCGAGAAAACTGGTTCCGTTTGTCCTTCTGATGCACCTTCACATCAGTGACATATGTATCCGAAGGTCGGTACACTGCTATCCAATTTTCGAGCTTCTCTTTGACTCTGTTAATCGACTTACCTTATCGCATTGTTTGCTAAATAACGGGGTCCCAGAAAAACATACTGCCATCCTACGTGCACTATACCTTAATGTCTCCGGAAAGTTCAAGGGTCTATACCTAGCTTTCTTCGTCATTCACAATCAATAGCGGTGTGCGATAGGGCTGCCCTTTGCCTTCGTTCCTCTTCCATTTTACAATCCTAAACGGCCTGTCGAGATTTGTAGAAAGCTTCCAGAATTTTGCTTTATAGATTTTACCGAGTGAACCCACAACTGACTTAGATTATGCTGACCAGATCGCCTTTCTTGGTGACGATCCGCTGCGTATGCAACTCATTTTGAACCGTTTGGTGGTCAAAGGGATGTCACAGAATTGGATCACATTTGATGCTTTGCCCATCCTTGAAGCTGCACAGCTCGAAAAGGTGAATTGCTTTGTCTTCCTGGGAGCTGTGTTTCTGCTGGTGGCACTATCGGAAAATAAGCTTCTCTCCGCATCACGGAAGTCCTGTCGGCATTTTAATCTGAGATACTTGGGGCGTCGTCGCGACGTCTCTGTCTCTGTAAAGGACCGTGTTTACAGCGTCTCCAAATGCTTAGTGTTGTTGTATGGTAGCGAGTTCTTGCCATTTCGCGTGGATGACATGTACCGGCTTTCTGCGTTCGACAGTGGCTTTTGAGGATGATCACTGATGTCTGGTGGAAACCGAGTTCGTGATAGGCTTATACGTTGCGCCCAGAGAAATGCGAATATCTCCTTCAATAAGCTGCTTTTACTACGCCAGTTAAGAGGTCTCGGTCACGTCCAACACATGATATTCGTGTGTTTGCTACGCCGCGCTCTATTCACTCGGGCAGGATTAGACTGGAGCTTACGGCGTGGCGGTCAGCCACCTACTTAGCAACAGCACATAAAGTCACTGACGTCGCGTCTAATAGCCATTGGACCCGTACGTCCTCCTGGCTAGGGACCAAAGAATGATGAGCACCAGGGACTTGACACACTTGAAACCACGGTTCGCAACCGGAATCAGTGGTGGATTTGTAAGCATACTTGTCTTGATTCACTTGTTAGGTGCTTCAAAAAAGCAAAAGATCGACGTGTGAGAAATAATTCAGTATGTGGTCCCCCTATCGCTCTTTCAGTGGTTCCATGTTTATTCCATTGACTGGCTTGTAATCCACAGATCAGTGTGTAACACCTGTCACTTACGTGGCAATGAAGCCTCGGTGCCGAGTTCTGGTGTACTACTGATGTCACTTTGTGGACGAAGTGGACGAAAGTCACTTGCAGGCACGCTTACTCGCAAGTGGATTTTGACGAACTTTCTCTGGCTCTCGTTACGTATAACATGCATGAGAGACTTCTGGATTCACTCCTCGATTTCTTCAAGACTATCACTGCCGATAGTTTAACGTTTATAGTTGAACGATATTCCTACCTTCCGACGCACAACGTTTTTAAACTGTTTATTTTGCATAATCGATAAACACGAGGTAGGTAGGTAAATAGTTTTCTTTTCTCTTTATATGTCACCTTTATTATAATAGTATTGGTTTCTTTTGAACGATTAGGTAAAGCCTAAACTGGAAAGTCTCGCGTCAGTCACAGAGTTATCACCAAAATGTCATGTTGCTTTTGAGTAGATTCATTCATTGTAGCATTTAGACGTCTGTAAACAGTTCTGCAATCCATCGGTGAACAAGCTGCAATCTTGTGATTCCAACACACTCGAACCGTTTAGCAAAATAGTCAACGCGTACGACGACACAAGTCGCTGAAAGCTTAGGCTGGGCGTGTACACTCTTAGCTGGATCGCTTCCCATCTGCCTATCCTTCCATACTGCAAACATATGTGACTCTCCTTTGGATCTGATGTTTTTCAGAAATTTCAGGACCAGTTTGCATTTGCTGTCCCAAAATTCGCACATCGAAATGGTAGAGCGGCTACAAAGTTGATATCTGCAAAGGGAATAAAGTCGAAAGTCACCTTCCAGGAGTATGATTCAATCTGCACCAGAGCACTACTTGGAACATACTGACATTCAGTGTCCGCAACCATTTTTGCTACAATAAAAAACGATGTGAGTCCTTCGAATGACCATATTGTTTATCAACATCCAAACTACGCCCACTCACAGAGCTTGAGCGCGTTGGCTGGAGCAGAAACCGGTGCTCATTCGGACGCAGAGCGGAATGCCGCAACGAACGCAGAGCACAGAAATGGGCGCGAAACCGCGCCATGGGGCTTGCATCACACCTACCCAAGTCGTTCGATTGTTTCCAACCCGGTCTATGATAACACTCACAGTGGCGAAAGATATCACGTTCTGATCGAATGCCACTTTTACTGGATGATCACCTTCTACATCACTTAAGGACATCATTTATTCAGGGACCAATCGCACAGTACTTTGTTCATACGGGCTCTTTTTACCGTCTGGGTTACAGGTCCGACGGGACACTTACTGAAGTCGAGTTTGGCGGTATCACGAGTGGCTGCTGCAGAGATCGCTCAGCTGCTGTTTGACCGCAAGCTGCGATGGCGAACCGGATCATCTCTTTTGAACTTGTGGCACTTAATTGGCTCATCTACGTACCTCAGCCACCTGTCGATCGACCATCTCGTTGTGTGTTACTTGCGTTTGTTGCGCCTGTTTGAATGAGGCCGAAGCGTGGCTACGAGGGGATATGTCGAACTTATAGAGAGAAAATCACCTGAACAACCATTGTGGATTTCAGAATCTGACGCTTAGATGTCCCCATCTCGTGTCCTTGCGTTCTGCTAGTTACATCTGTGGATGTTGGCTTTTCCATCCGTTGATTTTTGCCTATGTGCTTGCTTCGCTTTCTCATTTCCCCCGTCATTGTCACATGTTAGCATTGTAGTAACCGAACTCTTTGGGCTTCGCTGCTCCGACCACATTTAACTCACAGAGCTGAATTGAATCGCCTTACGCCAGATGGTCCTTTTTAACCGTCATTATACCTGTAGCCACACTGAATGACATCCAACACAAACGAAAAGTACACTGAAATTATTTTAAACTCTGTTCCGCCTGAGTAGAAATTTGCTTACCTCCTATCTATTGATTTGTGCTAGATAGTACGTCCAAGCATCATGCCAGCTAACCTCACGACATTGGTAGGTGGCCAAGTGTTTGTCAAGTTCAACCTACTGATTCCGCAGAGCAGGGATTGGAATTTGGCGACGCATGGATGTGTGACTCCGGTTTATCATGCGAACCGTTCTCAAGCCACTGCTTTTGAGTATGAAGCTTTGCTTGCGTATGCTAATGGTACATTTGCTTTAGTATGGGCACCGTAACAGTATGTAAGCTCACAACCAATATGGTTGTTTAGCACCAAGCTCCGATACAGGATGTGTTTGGGATGTTGTTTGTGGTAGTGTTTTTGATTGTATTGCACGTGCCAGCCTAAGTTGTCCGTTACTCGTTGCTACTGATAGTAGGCGGCTCTGCCTTTTTTGTTCCTTAGATGATGAGACTTATTCAGGATACAGACGCCGTCTGTAGTTTATCGACACCACCTGTCTCACCTCAGATATTTCCACGTAATGCGAATTTTCATCAAACTCCCTCACAATTATTCCCTGCTTCTCAATATGCGGTGGTATTTTCTGTGGGTGCTTCAATAATTTCACTGCGCTGCCATGTTGCGAATAGCACATCATACATCATGTCAGCTACAAGCAAGTATGCTGACCATTCGCTTACCTCTTGAATATGACATTTACAACTGGTTTTGCCCAAACCACCACTGATCTGTTGATTCGTCTGCCTTCATCCCCACCTGTGCGTTGAATTAATACTTCGCTAATTGACCGACCACATTCAGGAGCCATTCAGCTGCTAATGACGGGTTTGTCGTTACTTGCGTTTTTCATCGGCTGACACACCTTGTTTTCGTGGTCTGTGAAGTGCTTTCTTCCTTCTTACATTACTTGGCATCAATAATCTTGTCGAATGAACCCCCACTACATCTTCTTTTCTCCCAGGTCGTGCGATTAGTGAGCGAAAGTTTCAACTACAGTGCTGTCGATCGGGCCAAAACGCGCACGAAACAGCACTTTGCCACACGATTCCCCGAAATCGGTCGTCACTTCCATCGTCTCGGCCTGCCACCGAAAGTAAGTGCCCCAATTGGGAGAAATCATCGCCCTTCGTCTGAATCACTTGGTGCCCTAGCATAGAGCTTTTACACCACTCCTCTGTTCTCACATTTTCTCTCACATTCTGGCCCTCTCGTAACATGAACACCATTTTCTGCGCCTGCTTAATCCGTTGTTTTCCCACGGGTTAATTGATTTCAGGGCCGAAAACTCTTGTTCAAACACCTTGGTAACCATGTGTTTCTTTCGATGATGTAGACCTCGTGCTTGTTTTCATTGTCGATGACTGCGAATTAAACCATTGGACTTCGCTATTTTTGAACCCCCATTTTCTGTGGCCCTGTGGGATATGCAGCTCGCTTCCTGAGTGTCAATTGCAGCGCAACAGCATCACACCGCCCATTGTTTCATTGAACTTTTATCCCATGCGCTGCCGTGTGCTATTAGTGTCGACAAAAATCAACACTTTAGAGTGCTGCTGCCCAATAAGCGTGGTTTATCCTCATATCTCTTCTGGTTTCCTGATGTTCTCTTTACATCTTTCCTATTGCCATTTTGCGAAGGACACCTTCAGTTTGACGGCCTTCATCTTCGTTCAATCGAATGTGTATGGAAAGCCATTTTACACCATCCATTTGCGTGAATCTCTGATCCCGATGGTTGTGTGGAAAAGTTAAACTATCCTTGACACTTTCCATCAATTAATGTACATCTGCACCCTTCAAGCGGAGTCTATTGGACGTCGCTGTTTAGTCCTTATAGCTTCTCTACTAAACACCTAACTGTCAGGACCATTATACTTCTCTCCGACAGGCTTCTTTTTCTGGTGAACCAACCCAACTGAAGGAACACGGATCCGTGTCGAACGTGCTCTGTGATAATGGATAAACACTGTTACTGTCAAGCCGAACTTCATGGGGTGTTTCCTCCCTAAGTTGGTGATGACACAAACACGTCCCACCGAGTCCGATCTCCATGTGTTTTCGTCGACGGGGAACCTCAGTAACTCTCCCCGTCATCTCATTTTGCCCCTCCCTCTCTACTAATGTTATCCACTTTGTGTAGGAATTTGAAAATCCTGAGGAGATCGATTTGCTCTTATGGTAGTCCAATTCCTCATCTTCCACTTGCTTTTTAAAGACCTACCGGATTCGGCTGTCGTCTTCACTTGGCCAAGGGAGCAATGCGCGAGTCCTTCATTACGACTCCTGATCATTTCTCCACTTCGGGTCTTTCCATTTGGTTGGGTCATCTACTTCGGATTTCTGTTGATCGCCTAGCCCAGCGTACCTTGTTTGACAGCTCTTCACCTGATTGGCCGAACCCACCGGATAGACAGACCATGACATGACCAACTACACTAGGAATCTGACCAAAAGACTTGATTACACTGCATGCATGCTATCTTCCTGCTTGGAGCCCATGCGGTCAACTGCATTGACGGTTGTGGCCAGTGACGTAGCACAGTCGCGACACCAACTTCACTCTTGTCTACTTTTTGTTGATTCACCCGTTGACCGCTCCGTCTAACAATGACGTCCTTCTATTCCCTTTTCTTTGCAGCGCCTTCCTCGTTTGCTTGTGTTTTTCTCCTTCATCTTCCCTTATTGCTGCTAGTCATTCGTATCTTTGCGATTCATGGTAACTGGATCCATCGTGCTTTACCTCTGGGATCAGAGTTGTCTGGTTAAACCGAATTTACTGGAGCCACTTCACCTTTACTATGTTTTTAACCGCATTTCGCTGTGGAATATGACTGAACAATCAAATATGAAATTAGCCTCCTTGAATTGTAGTAACTTGTTTCGATCTTGATGAGTCCTCCGCCAAATTGAATTCAGGTTCTAATTACTGATCATGTATTGCGTCAACGTACCACAAATTTGTGTATTTGTCAGTGGAAAACAATCTCTCCTCGCCCACACTATCCGTGATAACCGTAACATACTTGGGTAGCGTTCGATGTTATACAGTAAGGATCATAAATGTGTCCTAGTCTCATATCTCTAGCTTGCCTATCAAACCTTACTGATACGTGAGTGTTGAAGTGGGCGAGACGTAGATGAATATGTCGGAATCCACAACCTGTGTCTCCACTCGTCCTACCTTTGATTCCGACCATTCTGGATAGTTACCTAGATGAACGATGCAGACCTTCCCATCAACACAGTGCTTCTGATCCTTCAAAGTCGTATTCGCGTTCAACTAGGCGGATGCGCCGGGCAACAGGTTAAGTAACTCATGCCGAACTGTTGACTTGACCCCACATTCTCCGGCACTAGTATGTGGCTAACTCACACCTACACGCTTCCTTTCAGATTGGGTCCTTACAGCTATTTGTCTCCTCCTGTCACGAGGCTGATTACTGGCTTCGGCGGTTCGATCAGGAAGCGCTACCAAAGTCCACCGAACAGGATTTCCAGCTACAATTTGAGAAACTGGTCGTTTTGGATTACATCATCAGAAATACAGGTTTGATTTTTTTTCTGCTTTGCTCTGGTTGAACAATGGAACTGAATTCAGCGGGGTTTGCAGTTTATGACCTCTTCAGTTGATAACTGCCCCATCTCAGTGATTCTGTCTGTTTTCTGATCATCCTACTTCATTACATTTTTTATCACAAGGGAGTACCAGGTAAGTTTTTAGTATAAATAAAGTTCACTACAACTAAGCTCAGTTATACGGCCACCACACGTTCTGAAAAGCACACGACTACCTCTTTATCCTTTCAAATTACACCACACAAATCTCCCACTACTCCACCATAATCAGTAAGCAACCCAGACGGATAATAACGCCATTAGCTAACTGCTGGCCTGGGTTTGGGAGGTCGTCGTTTAGGGGCCGGGATACCACCCTGTCCTTTGCACAGCACTAGCTTCCGAGTCAGTGCAACATGCGACACACTGTCACATCCAGCAAGTTGGTCATGTCGCTTGTTGCTGTCCTCCCATGGCGCAGTAGTCTCAACCATCGGTCACAAGTCATAACTCCACAAGCGACTGATGATATGCACACTGCAAACAATTCCGTCCAGTGTTTCTTCAGGTGCGTACCGATCGTTTGATTGAGCCGGTTATAACGAACACAACAATTTGAATTGTGTAAGCTTCGCTAAAAGATCACGTTTTGTAGCCTGAATTCGGCTCACTTTTCCGCATCGCTTAGCACGCTTAGAGCATCGCAACGACCCAGCTGATTATCCTCACTCACTCACCCGCCTAGTCACGTACGTCAACTACAAGTACCCGTTTCCTTACCCCACGGTATTTGTCTTCTCTTACTGGTTGACCATTACCCACGATTGCTCGTCGCATCTCATTGGCCGCGGCAATCAGTTTAACCTTATTGGATCATGCACTCGGTTTATATGATTACTCGCAGACATGAGTGCCTGTTTCCTCTATACTACCCGTTCCACCAGTGTATTACTCGGGTGGGACACACTTCCTTACCTTTTCACCTAAAATGCGTCTTATCTGCTCATGCTTCTGTCAAAAATTATGCCCTGCATATGTCGGGAATAACGGGGGTCACTATGCAATTCGTCTAGGTGCTGTATCATAGTCCTGGGATTTCAACCCCATCCGGTTATTTAAAACTTGATTGCTAGTGGTTTTGTTCATCTCAGATAGTTTTACACACAGTTCAGTTGTCATCAGACTTTGGCTCCTCTCCTGCAGCCGTTGTCCTGCTCATGTTTAGTGCGCGGTAGCCATCATTCATTAACTCTTGCCTATTGATGAACGCTACACATCACCTAAATACGTCACTTCACTCCACTCCATATGGATCCATTTTCTTTTCCTTGCACGCTTCCCTCAGATCGTGGGAATGACAATTGGTTGATCAAATACGAAACCTCAGACCTAAAAGAAGGGGATACCGGTCAGGTAAGCTCGTTGCACGTAATGTTTTGAGCTCAGTTGTTGTGGAGTTCTCCGAGCTGGGCAACTTGGTTGCAAACGTTTCGCCACCATTCGAGGTGGCATCTTCAGTGCGGGATTGATAGCAGTAAAGTAGCAGTAGCTGGTAGAAAGCAAACTCTCTGTTGGAGACTCTATCAGCTTTCCAGATTAGACATGTTGAGTTCTGTTCAAAAATTATGCGTGGTGCATAATCTGTCGGTGGCTTCGCTGCATCGCAACTTTCTCGCAGTTCATAGTAAGATTTATGAGTCAATTACATTTGAATAGAATAACTGTTGCTTATTCCAAATGCGGAACGGGTGACTCAGCCACCACAGTGGGATCAAGGCAAGAAATACAGATTTAGTTCATGTTCAACGGACCGTTATGCACGCAAGGAAAACGGGACATACGCACGTCTTCGCCGCAGTTCCGCGATATCCAACATCTATGTGTGGCCCCACCTGATGAAACACAGGCAACTCATGATCCTCATATATATATATATATATATATATATATATATATATATATATATATATATATATATTCGTAACAGTCTATGAGTAGACAAAGAGCCATCAGAAACCATGGGATTCAAAAGAAGATACAGAAAAAGTAAAAGAAAACACACCACACATCAAAGTCCATGGTTTCGTCAGGCGGCGAGATACTACCCGCTTGACCAAGCCGAAGGAGGTTGTTGACTTAGGGGACACCACCCCGAGCCTTTGGCTGAATAGCCTGCCCGCAAGGCAACGAAGCGAATTCATGGAATCGCACCCATTGGGAGCCGGTGACTGATTGCTCAGTTCATACGCCTTTCGTTTGTTCCATTGTCAAACAGGGGCCCAATGCTCCCCAGAATTACAGCATAAAGTTGCTGGAATACAATGCTTCGCCAAGATGAAGCAAGGTTCAGCGACTTTATTTAGTGGCGAGTCACCTCCGCCACGTCGCAGTGTTGTTAAACGGACATATGTGGCTTTTTATAGGGAAAACACTTGCCAGTCGAAAACCCACCAAGTCGTGGAACACTACCGCTAAACCTTTTGTTGGAACTGGATAATCCCGAACCACCCAGCTGGCACCACAGGAGCTAGTTCGGCGAACCAGCGGTATCATCGGTGTAGTCCAAGTCCACAACTCTGTCGCCTGGGAGAAGCTCGATACCGCAGGTTTGAATGCCTTCCAATGCTTGTTAAACAACATCTTCAATGGCGAAATTGAAGAGAACTGGTGAAATAGGGCAACCTTGGCGAACACCACTGGTGGCAGCAATCGGAGAGGAAGGCCTGCTGTAAGCGCTGACTTTCCTCGACATGCGGCTGTAGAGTTCCTTCAGGATGGCCACAAACTTGTCGGGCCTACCTTTCCTTATTAGACGCTTCCATAACGCAGATCTGTCTACTGTGTCAAATGCCACTCGGATGTCTAAGAACTCTACTATTGTTGCCCGTCGGTGGCGCGACATCACTCTTCCCATGAAGGGTAGAGTTTACAGTGAAGCCGTACGTTCCACCCTACTGTACGGTTGTGAAACCTGGCCTATTAGAACGGCAGAAGTAAAAGGGCGAGTTACATTCGACCACCGGTGCCTTCGCATTTTGGCCCATATTTGGTAGGAACACCGGGTGATCAATGAGCGTGTTCTACGCTTTGTTTGGGGCACATGAGGTGACAATGAACTGCTCAGCTCCTTTATTTCACCCACTAGGCTCCGATGGCTGGGTCACGTGTTGCATATACTAGCACACCGACTCGCGCGACGTGCGTTGTTTGCCCATCAGGATGTGGATGGTAGAGGGGAGGTGGCCAAGCGATGACATAGTTAAGAGAAATTAAGTCCCTTACTTGGAGTTGGCCTCGCTTAAAGTCTTTCATTTCCCTGGTTGAGGTCCGATAGGCGGTGAACACATTTGGCTGGAGACACTTGCTGACGTGGCTAAGAGCCGACCGCAGTGGTGTTGGTGTTGTGAATTTCTTTGTCCGTCCCCCTCCCGCTTAGCCTCCCCTTCCATTCAGGATCTCATTTCCTAGGATATTATAACGTTTTCATAATATATTTTTGCGGCAAATACCGGCTGATAGTTTCCCGGAACGATGCCCGTCCGTTACAGGTGATTCAGCTGGCGTGCCTTGGTTGCAGCTTTTTCTTCTTTCCTTATGTATTGCGGCACAATAACTGAGATTTTTCCACCTCTAGCTAAAGTGTATGAGGATGTGTATAATGATGATGGCCGTCATTGAACGTGATGGACTTCAAAAAGTTGGTGGTGTGTGAAGGTTTGGTCAATACAACTTTCGCTTGGACGGAAATCGGCTTGTTCTTCTCAGGAAACGCCTTGTCTAATCGATGAAAGTCTTCGGTGTAGGACACACGAAAATCTTAGACGCAACATTGATCGACGAAATTCCGCGGCAATTGGCGCAATCTTTACGGGAGCCTTTCTTGTGAATCGGGACAATGACCGACTCCCCCTTGCAACTAGGACTTTATTGTCAATCGAAGCCTTCGTGAACAGTGACAGGATTTCGCTGATAAGTGTATTCCCACCATCTTTGAATGGCGCTGGAGTTAGGCCGTCAGGCCCAGGTGCTTTATGACGTTTCGAAGATTGGATAGCGCTTCGGATCTCTGCTTCGGTAGGAGAATTTATGGAGACAGGCCAAGCTCCACCCGAAAGAAATATAAGTTTCACAGGGCGCTGTGCTGAGTAGTTAATTTGGAAAGCAAAGTGCTCAGCCTAGCGACCCAAACGTCTGTGCAGGTTGGCGCTTTTCATGTTACCTGACTCTGCGCGTTCATAACACGCATGACAGGGAAGGATGAGCTGCACTATACCGCAGTTAGATATCAGTCATGGCGATGCGCTGCCGTCACCCATCACTCAGTGGCAAAAGTCGCTGACGCATGGTTAAGTTCGTGGGTTCGAATCCGGTAGAATTCGGCGGACGCGAGTTGCTGACGAGTCCCAATAGAACGAATCGGTCGTCTAGTGCCTTCTTGGATGTGTGGTGGCTGTCTGCTTGGATCTAGTAACGACAAATCTTCACAAACAGATCCACAGGTTGACTTACAGCATCAGAATTGCGACCAATGATCTTAATGGCTGATAAACTGCCGTAGTTTCCATACGATGTAGCGACTTCCTTATCAAAAGCTTGTTTTGACCACCAGGATTCACGGTCAGAGCGAAGGTTTGACTTCAGCTATTGAGAGACCGACGGAATTCATTTTGCTCCGCACTGGCGGACACAACCCGTCGACGATCTAACGGTTCCGAGGATCTTACCGAGATCCAGCTTTTGGCCATGAAGCGGGTGAAGCCGCAGCTGGACAACCCGGCAGACAGCGCGGTTTACTGAAACCATGACCAGTGTTGATTGACATTCAGAGATGCAGAGAGAGTGAGAGTTTAACTGCGTTTTCACAGTTTTGTCCTCCAACTTGTGGATGTTCAGTTGGATTTGTTTAGCCCTAGGTAATCTACCGAAACGAAGGCAAACTGTCGCACATACCTATGCATGATCAATCTCAACGCACGTTGACCAAAATGATCTACAATCACGTACACTGCTGCGCCACCTGAGACTTATGGCTATGTGACCAGCGTTGGGTTGACGATGGAGGACGCCAGGTGGCATAGTGGCGTCCAGGATTACGAAAGCTCGTAGTGGAGAGGAAAACTTGGTGGTCAGCACGTCGACTGAACAGTATGTTGTCCGTGCAGATATCATCACATCTATACGGTCCACCGAGGCGGTGTTCACATGGTAGCAGCTGACCGATACGTGCGTTTTAATTTTCTGCTGTAATGATGATGTCTGTTTTAGTCGCCCTTAGGAGCGGCTCGTGAAGCTGCTGATGGAACTGGTCCTTGACTGCATCCGAGATGCAGATCAAGGGCAGATCACAAAAAGAGCATGCTTGTCTGCTCGATGTCTGCTAACCTTGCAAGAGCCACGGAGTCTCATAGCGCAAAGGCGACTGTTGATTGGAATCCAATCAGGGAGATTGGCATCAGCTCTGGCACTTAGAGCGATCCCAACACCAGCTTGCTCAGATGCGGCAGCTTCAGCGTCACCAGAAAGACGGATAGAAGCGGATGTCTGGTTGGATTAGTGACGACAGCTGGTAGACTGTGTTGGAATCCTGCAGTCATGTTTCACTCAGGCAGCAGACATCGACTGGAAGGGCGTCCAGCGTGCGTGCAAGTCCAGCTTGCTGCCCGATCTGCATTAATGTGCGCACGTTAAAGGTCGCTAGTTTGAACTGCATTCCAGGTTGCAGTAATGATGACGACTTCGGGGCTGGCAGTGCCTTGTCGAGGACTGTATGCTTGCTATCGCAATGTGGCCTGACTCCATCACGATGTGGCTGGACCTTACCGTGGTGCGATGGTTTGCGTGCTTCAGAGACCCATTGAGCTATGCTGGGTGGTGTTTTTTGCACCTTCATAGCCACTCATACCAGATTGGTCAATGGTTAGAGGCCGAACAAACCCAGCCTCCTGGTCCTCCAGCTTGGGAATGGGAATGACGGTGGATCTTTATTCCATAAAACGGGCTCTGTAGTCCAGTGCCAAAACCCCGCTGTCTTGCGGTAAGGTTTTTGGACCAAAGGCTTTGATTGATAACTCTAATCATTCTCCTGTCTAGGTCTGGGCAACCTGACAGTATTCTGCCCACGCAATACAATGAACCTTTCTTCTAACAATTTATTGATGCTTTGGTCGTCGCAGAGGATAATCAACAGCGCCCTATCTGCTTCATCGAGCAGGGTGGATAGGGGTATGGGTGCTACTGCTCAGGCCTTCCCGTCTTCTCATCCGCCTTCTTGCGCTTTTACATCCTTATCGCCCCGCCCCAACTTTACTTTTATCCCCCATTTCTATCTGCCAATCCTTGGCCCTCCCCCACCTTGCTTCAATAGTCGCTTGTCTTCTAGTTTCAACTCACGCACAGTCGCAGAGCCTCGCTCC